CAAAAAACAAGCAAGTATTCGTAATTGCATAAAACATTGACAACTAACACAACAACAACATTCAATTTTTCTCAACGTTTTATTGATTGTTGATCCTTTCTTGCACCATTTTAAACATCAGCAATGGTCACTTCAACTTCTACTCCAGGCTCAATACTGATGGATGTCTGATGATGGGACAGTTAAGGAAACATAAAAGGGATAGGATTTGGATATGACTCCCTAAGATACGATCAATTATACAATCAATATTACAGTGTTTTTTGTGATTAACTATTAATCCCAAAAAACACTGTCATACATCCTTTCAGGTTGTCTCTCAGATGGTAGTGCATGGTTAAATATATAATCATACAACAGGTGTCATGCCAGAGGCAGTTATCATCACAGAGACATAAGAACATGTATCAATTTTAAAGTATGGTTTCATTATACAATGTACAACTGACAAAAACTCACAAGTCTATCTTTGTTTAAAGTGGTCAATATACAAAAAAATACAAAATACAAAAATCCTGGGGCACTTATAAGCCACATTAGCTGGGTTTACTTGCTCTCGTGGGATGAATACTGTACAACTGTTCAACTCACTGTTTCATTCCCCTCCTTGGGCAAATTATAATTCAGTTGGTATCTTCAAGAAAAAGCAGCGAACTACATTGGGAAGGTTATCTATTGAAAATTATTCTGCTGTTGGTTGTCGCAATGGATGGGTGCTTTAAATTGTCTCATCGTGACTGTGTTTGTGATCCACAGCGATCCACAACTGATACGTGAAAAAACATTGTAGTCCCCACTATTCCTAGCTAAATTGTTCGCTAAAACTTTACACCTACATGACAGGTTAATGAGTAACTTACTTTTACAGTATATATAAAAAAAAACATTCCTTTGCACTTGCAACCCATTTCCTACTTTAAACCCAAACATGAACACAATAAATGTCAAAGAACAAGCTCCCAGATTTTAAGAAACTCATTAACAGATTTATCTGAATTTACTTTTAGAGCTGTGTTCAAATGGAATTAAAGACTTTCTTCAGTAGCACTCAGATATAAAATTAAGGCCACCATACATTTCTTTTCACTTCTGATTGGGTGCTAGGTGGGGGGCCAAGGAACTGCTAACAAACTTCCAAACATGTAAACAGGTAACCGCTAAGTCAAGATCTTATGTCAGAAAAGGGTAGCTGCCCTGTGCAGGCAGCAATAAGCTCCGGTTACACACTCCTCACGGAAGGTGTTGCTGAAATGTTGCTTTACCTGGGTGTAAGTAAACAATCAATTCCAGGGTTATTTTTCTCATTAATTAACAACTCTGTTTGCAGCATAACGAATGATAGCATTCAAAGGATACAATCTGCTTGACAATCTCAGAGGGACTGTGAAGATCTATCAACCTCTTGTGAATCCTCATCTCAAACCTGTCCCAAGTTTTGGACCCTTCACCACAGGGTGTCTTACGGGTGGTAATCTTCAGATACTTGGTTGGCATACGCACAGGTCCCTTAACTTTCAGTTTCTTTTCCTTTGCTCCACGGATCAGATCCGCACATACTATGTAATAACACAGAATAAGATAAAATCAAACACCTTTTCTTTGCTGGATTTAGCTAACTTGTAGGTATATCATGGTGCAAATTTGAGGAAGAGAGACTTGCAATACTCTTGCTTGTAATGTGCAGAGAAAGGACTCCCAATAATGCCCTGCAACTGCCAGATCTCTGGTGGATACTCTGTGGTGCTGGTGACTCACACCCTGCTATTTGATTATCAACATCATTGAGAAGGCCATGAGACTTCTTCCTGTTTTCTACAGTACAATAATTGTCTACCTTATTATGAACACTCATTAGAGAGTTTTAGATCCGAGTTTACCGCGAACCTCTAACCGCTGGAGGTCACGTGACAAGTCTTTCGCGTCACGTTTGAGGTTTACAACGTGCGTTTTCAACCTGGAGAGGTAGGTTTTCACTTAGGTCATTTAACTAAAAGCTTTTAGCGTATAATTCTTGTTTTATCTCACGTAATGATACAAAAATCTTGTGGAGCAAGTCTTTATCCATTAACAGAGGCACAAATTCGGGCGAAATGCTAAATTTGATAAATCCTATTGGATCTTGGAAACAAGTGCCATTCATGGCTGCTGATTCAAAATGGCGGCCGTAAATTCAGTGCAAGAAGAACTAATGTAAGTATATACAGCTCTTTGCCGCTAGTAACCCAGTCTTACCGTAAATTTCTTTTATTTTCACTGATTGATATTTCTTCTCTTTCTAAATGGAAAATTAAACCAGAATCCACTTCTTTAATCCTCCGCCAATCTAAATCGAATTATGTTTGAACGTCGAACCGCAAACGGGTAACCTCAAACTGCGGTTAGAGGTTCGCGGTAAACTCCGATCTAAAACTCTCTATTATCTAATGGTAAACCTCAAACAGGGAACCCTCCCATACCACAAACTGACAGATTTGAATTGTAAAAGAGACACATTTCCCCATCATTTAATTTGGGTTTAAATGATCCAATGCAAATTTACTAAACTAATCCACGATGTTGATGACTTCAGTTATCTGTTACCTTTCTCTAAGCTCTTGACATTGCGGCTTGTAAGAGTGATGCGGATCCTGTGGATCTGAGCCTCTTCTTCAGGTACTGCACCTTTTTCCTTGAGGTGTGCCTTGAAAATATGCATTACACTTAACTTCAGGTATTCAGATAGTGTAGTGTGGTGCAAAGTCAGAGAGCAGGAAAAAAATAAGAAGAGTGAGAGGAAGAGGGAGATAGCAGGGAACAGCGTTCCTTCTCTCTCACCCTCTACTCTGTCTAGGGCTGCAACGATACACTGGTGCACTAGTGAACTGCGATATTTCTTGCCACGATACGAATATAGATATTTGAACAACATATTGCGATATTATGATATTACCATATGATTCTTGATCAACATTCAAAAATAACTGTATTGAATGACTTCTTATGCAAATCCAAGCCCCGTTATAGCTATTTATTAAACCTAGAGACAAGAAAGTTCCATCTTTTTTTCGTAAAGCTTCACACTCTTCAAATCTGACATGTATTTTTCAACATGGCGGCACATTGCATACTTCCAATTTAGTTGTCAGCTGACACAGTCTACACGCCCATGGGGAAACTGCTCATCGGAAAATGTCTTTCTGTGTTGGTGAAAAAGCTGAATTCGAACTGGCACCATCCTCAATTAAATGGAAGGTGTTGAAAGACTTTGGATTCAAGGTATTTTTTGATAACAAAGGCGTGAGAAACACGGTAAAAGAAACTGTAATCTGTCTCCACTGTTTCTCAGATCTACAATACACTGGCTCAACAACCAATATCAGTTTTCATGTCCAACGACATCATTGTGCTCTGTTATTCAATTACCATGCTTTGTTATGGAAGGAAATAGATGATTTCAAAGAAGTCTAGTAAGATTACGTCACTTGTCAGTTGTATGTGATGATGTATCGTATTGTGCATTGTATCATGGCACCTGTATTGAAATATGTACCGTATTGCGAGAAAATGTATCATTGCAGCCCTAACTCTGCCCCCTCGCTGTAAGAAATGACTTGCAACGTTAGCGAACAGGACATAGGCGAAACCACTCGTTAGAGAAACAACCAGTCACCCTATAATAGTTATAGGGGGATAGGACGTGAAGGTACAGAGTATCATACCGTAGACTGGCTATTTGATTTGTTCTAGCCTACAGCAATCCATAACGAGACTACTTTGAGTAAGACCCATAGGGATACACATCTTACTTAGTGACATCTGCAGTCCAGTACTATCTAAAAAGTCACAAATATATTCCTGTTCTCCTGATACATAAACTCAAGGTCGAGATCAATAGCCAAATTAATCATCGATCTGATCTCTTTATTTTTTCAACTTGCCTATCCCTCAACTCATGAAGAACGCTTGCAACATTGCAAACATTACAATAACACGTTTACTTTGTGTACTGTTGAGTAAACTAACAACAACGNAAAGGCGTGAGAAACACGGTAAAAGAAACTGTAATCTGTCTCCACTGTTTCTCAGATCTACAATACACTGGCTCAACAACCAATATCAGTTTTCATGTCCAACGACATCATTGTGCTCTGTTATTCAATTACCATGCTTTGTTATGGAAGGAAATAGATGATTTCAAAGAAGTCTAGTAAGATTACGTCACTTGTCAGTTGTATGTGATGATGTATCGTATTGTGCATTGTATCATGGCACCTGTATTGAAATATGTACCGTATTGCGAGAAAATGTATCATTGCAGCCCTAACTCTGCCCCCTCGCTGTAAGAAATGACTTGCAACGTTAGCGAACAGGACATAGGCGAAACCACTCGTTAGAGAAACAACCAGTCACCCTATAATAGTTATAGGGGGATAGGACGTGAAGGTACAGAGTATCATACCGTAGACTGGCTATTTGATTTGTTCTAGCCTACAGCAATCCATAACGAGACTACTTTGAGTAAGACCCATAGGGATACACATCTTACTTAGTGACATCTGCAGTCCAGTACTATCTAAAAAGTCACAAATATATTCCTGTTCTCCTGATACATAAACTCAAGGTCGAGATCAATAGCCAAATTAATCATCGATCTGATCTCTTTATTTTTTCAACTTGCCTATCCCTCAACTCATGAAGAACGCTTGCAACATTGCAAACATTACAATAACACGTTTACTTTGTGTACTGTTGAGTAAACTAACAACAACGTCATCTCCATTTAACTTTTTTAACCTACCATACTCAAAATTGGCCGACTTATTCAACACGAACAGAGGTGAGCCACAAACTTGTAACGCAAAATGGCGGAGAGGAAGAAATGAAGCACGTGGTTGGCTTTATAGGCCGAGATGCGAAAGGTATCATGGGTACTTTCCCAAAAGTCTTTTAGAGCTTTGATAATCAAAATGGCGGAATAGTTGTTGGTTGTCAAGATGAAAATATCTGTCGAGTAGCAAGACATGAGTCGAAGTGTGAGAGACTTACGAGAGCTTATCAATGTATCTCGATTATCTTATCGCGATGACGATGAACTGGACGAATTGTGTAACGAATCGGAGGAGGATTTTGGTGTTATTCCTGTAGAGGTTTCACAACCATCTCTTCCAAAGAGAAGCAAAGACTTGGCTCCTTTGAGCTTAGATTCCAAAAAGAAACCTGTTAGTCCTCCTTTGAGCTCTGGTTCTTCAGGTAGGGGATCTCCATTACCTCCGATAGGTGCTACTAGCAGCCCAACAAGCGGTAGTCCATCTTCATCTGGAAGGAGCTCTCCAGCAAGGCTTCCCCAAGATGGAGTGTCTGAGCGTGTGATTTCGATTTCAGCTCGGAAGAAAGACGTTCAACATTCAAAACCTAATTTTGACAACATATTGTTTTACATGGATTCGACTGTGGTAGGAGATTGGCTTACAAAGGCAAATGATTCAATCAAACAACTGACATCATGGCTCCATTGTGATGACAATTTCATTCAGTTTGCACATTTCTGGCTTTCAGAAATGCCAAGAACTAAACAAAGGCAACTGCTAGAGATGGAATTCTCTATTTTATTGGATGAACTGTACTTTGCTTTTGGTGCTGGTTTAAAAGGTGAATCTGTTTCACATGATGATGTTAGCAGATTTGTTGGATCTGTCCTTTGGGAATATCCTGAAAAATTTCATAACTCTGAAACTAAGGATTACTTTCTAAACATTCTCCTCTGTCTATGCTCTGGTAGGAAAACAAATTATCGTACCCTGCTCTCAGATGTACGGTGTTCGACATCAACTAAAGAATTTGTCCAACTTATTTTAGCAACAAGAGCGTTTGCAATAGCAAATATATGTTCTGGGGCGTTAGAGTTCTACAAGAATACATTTCAAAAAGCCAGCTACTCAAAAGCAATGGAAAATTCAATTGGCAGCAAAAGCCTTGTTGCAATAGCAACTGAGTTTGCATTCCAAGCAGTGCAGAAACACCTTCCTGATGTGCTGGATTATTTAATAAGGAACTACTCACTCAATCACCAGACTCTGAAGGATAATGGGGGTAAAAGTCTGCTTTTCACAGCTGTGCTAAGTGGCAATGAGGGAATGCTTCAACATTTGTTGAAGGTAATCAGTAATTTACTAACATAATTTATGTGACCAGTGAACAATATTACTAGGCACAAAAGGGGCTCGAAATTAAAAAAAAAATCGTGAGGTCGCCTTTTGGCGACCAACTGTAGAAACATAATCACCAAATGCAAATTTTTAGTTGCCAGTTTGTATATAATGTAAATGACGCAGCTCATAGTATCAGGGCTTCTGATATTAGAGACCATTAGATTCTAAGACGAGTATGACAACGAGTGAGAGATTTTCTCAATGTGCATGAACCAGTGTCATGTTGGCGGGAAAACATGGTAGCCGTCATCACTCTACTATGAGTCTTAGCGAGAATGTCGAAGTGGCGGAAACAAAAAATCAAATGTTAAAAGTTTTATCATTTTGTGATCAGGAGAGGGCGTAAACCTCCTTTGCTAAAGATAATAGTGGTAACTTTTCTAGTGAAAAATGGTAAATGAAGCTTTCCAGGGAGTCTATATTTTGAGAATGCGCGAAAAAAACTCTAAGTCAAATCTTGTACTCGTAGTTGTCCTCATCCTTGAATCTAAAGGTTTCTATTTAGTGCGGTCGCAGAGCCAAGAAATTCAGGTAAACCCACGAAATTCACAAAAAAAATGCAAAATGCTTCAAGATTCACGAGAAATCTTATCAAATACATGTCAATACAACATATTTGAAACTCATCTCGGCTATGGGGGCTGTTTAATTGCTGTAAACTTGCAAATTTATCTCGAAACTTCATCACCACAATGAGCAAAGAAGGTCTCAAAACTACCAGGCGTAAATTATGTTGTGAAAAACTCGGCACTAGTCATGATATTAAAAGCTTTGCTATTGGCTCATTTCTCGAGCGCTTTGTTGTTAAAATCGCAAAAGATTATCTCTGTTAAAAAACATTAAACATGCTCGTCAAATCAGTGCAAAATCGATTGATTTCAAGTGAAATTTGCCCAGAAAATTCCCATGAAATTGGTCATTTTTTACCAATTGTTTTTCGGCAAAGTTAGCCCCAAAAATTTCCGCAAATCTGTCTCAGTAAGTCCCACAAAATTTGCCTTTTTTTTCGCGACCCATCAGAAGCCCTGTAGTATGGCACAATCAATCAGATTTGATTGTTTGCAAATATCGCGGACAGAAGTTGGTTTAAATTGGGTGGTAAACTGGCTTTGTTTGTGCGATTTGGCATATTTTTTATGATGAAAGCAAAGCAAGATAAGATGAAATGTTTGTTTTAACTTTACTCATTTAATTTAAATCTAAATCATACGGAAACCTAGTTGCCAAAGTGGCGACTAAACCAGAGTTTTTAGTCATCAAGGAGAAAATGTTAGTTGCATGGGCAACCATATCAGTCGCAATTTCAAGCCCTGCACAAAAAATGTGCCTCGTATATTTATTTGATTTTGCTAATAATTATTCTAACTACCAGTCACCAGTCAGATATAGGAGAAAACAACATAGTTTCTCCTGAGGCCGCAGTGAGCGTTTTCCTCCAAACAGACCTGAGTTTAACCTTTGGCACTGCGGGCCATCGCTCTTTAATTTTAAAGCTTATAAACCTCATCTAGATAAAATGTGAAATATAAAGCAGGACACAGCACATTGGCCCAGATGGGGAGAAGGACATGGGTATACTAGTCTTCTGGTCACCATCCATGCATGGAGGATGCTCATCACTTTCTTAAAACCCTAACAGCATATATTTTAAAACTAACCAGGTGACACTTACCAAATTAATTCAACAAAGCCAAAGACCAGGCTTCTAAATCCTTTCCTCCATCCTCCATTCAAGTATGTGAGGAAATACCCGTAATACACCATGTTTTTCTCCCCCCCCCATGAAAAAAATCACATAAGCATTGTCTTCATTTTCTCTTGGGATGAACAAAATATTTAACTCTTGCTCTGGGCTTGAGATCAATTTTTTTTATTATTTAGATACAGCCTAGAGTAGATGTCAATGAGACATCTCCTTCAGGGAATACACCCCTTCATGCTGCAGTGAATACTGGAAATGTCAGCATAGTGAAACTGTTAATCAGTGCAGGAGGAAAACTTGATGCATGGAACCCTGAGTGTGAGGGTGCCACACCACTCCATCTTGCTATAATGAGTGGTAAGTGCCTTGTTTTTGAGATGCAACAAATTGAAACATTGCGACCTCATTTTCCACCATCACACACTCTTTGCTGGTTATGAAGTTTACCCAAAATTGCTCGACTGGAAGGGCTGCCTAGAATACAACCCCAAGTGACTTCAATTAATATTCTCTTCCAATTTACCTTCTGCATACACATGAATCAAAGAAGGAATAAATTGTTTGACATTGCATCTCTTCTTTTTTTTCCTTAAGAATGCTGCTGTAAGGTGGAAGCTTATTAGGACATCATACTGAATTTTTGCTGCCAAACATTTCACTCTTATATTGCTATCCTTGCAGAGAGCTGTTTCTGTAATATAAACCTAACTGATATGGCTAAGCCCCATGAGTCCCTCTCGGGGTGTCAATGGGGAATTAGAAGTAGAAATCAAAGGCTTTTGATAGGTCTCGACTGCTGTTCAGAAAACTCAGAAGTTATTTTCAAGTTATCTTAAACTGCAATGATCATAATATTCTTTCTCATTCAACTTAAGTGTAGGCAGTACCTCAATAAGTGACTTTTTATATCTCTTTGTCCAGGAAGTACTGAAATGGTGTCAGCAATATTAGAAGCTGGATGTGACACATCTGTTAAGATGGGAATTCCTGCCACTGTAACACCAATGAGCCTTGCTACAGACTTAGGGCTGGAAGATATCACTGAGTTGTTATCTAAAGCTAGTATCTCTTGACAATTTTGTCCATTTCCCCTTTCATCTCTTGAAAAATATTGTGTACTGCTAAGATGGTCAGTTATCTCTCATAACATTTGTACAGTCACCCTGTGAAAATTAGCAGAAAGAGCTCTTTTCCAAGGGGGTGAGGCTCCAGTGGTGGTGGTGGAGGGGGAGGGGGGAGCGAGAATGGTACTGCAAGTGCCCCCTCACTACTCTTTGGGTGGAGGTGCACTACAGAGGCCTTCAAACCCTGACCCTATTTACAGCAAGTCAAAAAACAACACAAAAAATACCCTACTTAAGAGTAGAGACCTTTTTTCAGAACACTGATTCACTTCATTTCACATGAAGAGTAAAGTATTTCTTCACATTAAATAAAAAAATGATATTATGTATGTCGACTGCACGCCCTTCAACATTCACACCCTGATCAAGGCTTCCAGTCCAGAAAAACACACTGTTCAAGACACTTATACATACAGTCAAGGCTCTTCTTCTGCATGACAACTCATGTTAGCAAACAGCTGTAGTTGTGACCAGTTTTAAGAAACCCCGTTTGAACTGTGACTTAAGCTCTGTAATGAAAAGCTCTCTTCTGCGAAAACTCCTGTAAGTTACCTTGACCTCTTTTCTGACAAACCAGCTGGTAGCTAGCAGGTCGTTCCTTTTGTTTTTACGTTCTCAAAAGCAACCAACCAGTGTCAATTGCTGAATAAAAGGACTTACTTCTTGAACAAATTTTAAGGCATTGATGGTTTCGATGGTTTGTCAACATTGAGTGTACAAAGTAATAAAAAAAAGGCCCTAATTAAAATTCTTTCACCTGAACGTACTGGTAATTAACAAGATATGCCAAGCCTTCTGCTACAAGCTCTCCTTAATAACTGCTCTCAAAACGTTTATTTCATATATAGTCGCTTACAACATACAGTTAAACCCCTCCACATCAGCCACCTTGGGGATCATAGTAGAAGAAAGTAGTCATTATGGGGAGGTAGGGTAGGGGTGGAGGGTGACTTTCTCGCGCGTTCTAAGTATGTTCTAAAAAAATAAAGGTTCTGTTTAAAAAAATACGACTTTATCAAAAAAAGTTTTCAAATTTAATCTTAAAAGATTTGAAAGACTTGCCGCGATTAATCATCAACTTACCATATGGATCAAGTTTCGTGACCGTTCTTGACTTTTTCATCAGTAGCTGAAAAAACTGGTCTTTGTTGAGAGGTTATTTTGGCACCTGGAGAAGTGGTAAAATGGCCGTTACCGTTGTAGGGAGATGGCCTTTGTATAGAGGTTTAAACAAGGGGCAATGTATGGAGACTATGGACTGTCCGCCGGGAAAAGAAAGGTGGCCGTTAGTGGAGTTTCGACTGTATTTTTTGTCGACCACTTTTATAAATTCCACAGTTGGTCACTTACAAGAACTTTGAATGTAGTAAAATTGTATGTCCTGTTCTTAAAAGACTCGAGCCCCCCAAAAACCCATACCCTATTTGACAGCACATGCATGTTTAGGCCGAATAAGGTAGTGCCCCTCGATTTTGTGAAGTCGCAAGAAATTCCCCTTTTAAAGTTTTTAACTTTACGTCTCCCTAATAAACAAAAAGCATAATGGTCATTCAAGATCTCCATCGCTTAGATGACGGTGACTTACCACAAGAAGATAATATAAAATTGTCTTTGAACCCACAATAAAGATTATTACCTCAGATAGTTGCCCCCGCAGCGATTTCGCGCAGATGGCGAAATTCCGAGGAGGCATCGTAGTAGTAGTCTGCTACACCCTAAAAACGGCTGTGTAGCAGACTATCCTAGTAGCTGACGCGCGTATATGTAGAAAAGTACTTACAGTTAAAATATACAGTCAGTATACCCGAAAAAATCTCGATTTGCTTGATTAGGGGCCGCGCTGAATAGGTGGGTAATGATGACGTTTCGATTGTTCTAGCCCGCATAGGATGACGTAAAACAGAAAATCCCCGAAGTGACCGCTTGGGTTGATTTTGTGACACTTATGTACTTTGATACTCTTTTACGTTACGTGTTATCAGTGACATTCTGTGGAGCAGCTGTTTTGAAATTTATGGACCAAAAGGCACTCGTTAAGCGCGGATGAAATTATAAGGTGCGTGTAACTGTGTATATATAAATAGTTGAAGAGTTTGCCAGACACGAGTTTATCATTCACAAATCTCTGACTGGAAACAATTTGCAGTCTCTCTGGAAGTCAATAAAACAGTCCACAAAGAAGCAAGACGAGTGAATCTGTCACTGGCAGAACGATGGATGATTACAAAAATTCGACGACAATGAAATTCTGTGCTGCCGTAAACCAGGATCACAGATGTCCTTCTATAAAGTTTTTTCTTTTAAGTATTGTAATATTAGTTTAAAAAAATATATCCTAGAAAGCGCGAGAGTGAATTGATCAAACCTTTTAATTTCCAAGGCTTACTTTCCGGCTAATAAAATGTCGAAAACGTACTGTGTGTAAAAAGTGTAAGAGAAACAGCGAAAAATTCCAACTTCTAATTAAATCTTTTCTTATGGTTTAGAATAAAATATTCTCGAAACTGAGAATGTTTCGATCAAAGCTGTGTAAATCGAACAGAATCAGCGCATGGAACCTTGCGTTTCCTGTTTTTATCTCACCTATTGTATACAAAGTTGCCACGGTCAGGGAAAAACGAAAATTTGTCAAAGTCAGTGAAAAGTCAGGGAATTCTGTTTTCCAGTTTATAGTTCATAAGTTTTCTTCCAGATTTTGAAATGAATTGTCTTTGGAAAAGATGAAAAGTATGCTGCAAAGTAAGCAAAGCAATCAGTTTAATACTCTGCGCTAACCAGGTAGTAGTGGTGGTCAGTGGTTTTCGTTGTGAATGCTTTCTTCCAAATTCCTTCTTCCTCTTTCCACGAAAAAGATGAATGGTTGAAAATGAAGAGAAAAATATCGATGGCCTGGAAAAAAAGCTAAAGCGAATGTAAACATCGATTGTTTGTCGTTAATAAAAGGTTAGTGAAAACATTTGAAAGGTCAGTGAAAAGTCAGGGAATCTTTAACGTTCTGATGAGTCGCAACCCTGTGTATGGAATATGTGTGAAATCTTCATTATGAATCGGTATATTTCAAAGAGCTACACAACGACCAAGGCTCCTTCCACACGTATCCGGATATTTTTGAATCCGCAAGTTTTCTTTGCGGATTCCAAAATTTCCATGTCCACACGTAGCGTATTCAAATCAAATTTGTCCGTCCACACGTATCCTGATTCACTTTCAGTTCGTTGGCTAATTTATAAGCCGATCCTCGGCTCATGAAGAAATTTTCTCGCGATTATTCTTCCATAACTGTTACGTGTGGACGGGGCCCAAGAATACTTTTTAGTCTATTGACAACATACAGAGCGGGGGCAGCTGTAGAGTCAACTATTACTAGTTAACCACATCATGTAAATGAACTAATTTGTAACAACTCTTTGGAAATGAAACGATTATCACCTTCTTTATCCCCTTCCGATATCGTTTTAAAGTCAGTTATGGTATGCACTATTATATGAAGTCCATTATTGTACAGAAACAGGGGCACCCAACGACAATTTTCGGAAAATATCTGTTCGGATGACGATTTGACATCTAGAATTTTGGAACATTTGTTGTAAAATTCCTTGCTTGCCTGCCTCTCCTAAGATTTTCGAACATCTAAAAACTACTATAATTGCCCATTTTTAACGGATTTTTACCGTTAAAACGTCACCTAGAATTTTCGGGACCCTTTTTTCTGGCTGAAATTTTCGAAAAGGTAAGTTTTGATCCCTTTAATTTTCGGATCACTGGACTTTCAGCTGGGAAATCCGAACAGATGAAAAATTTTTAGGGGATAAAAATATGCCTTTATGTACTGTTTAAATACTAAAATAAGTTTAACAATACTATGTTTAAGTGGTTTTGAACTATTTTCTCGTTGGGTCCCCCTGCAGAAATATACCTGGATGGCGATTTACTTCCCCTGCAATGCTGCATCTTTTCATGCACGCGTACTCAATTATATATACATAGACTTGTAGAACAAAAAAAACAGAAGCGACTGCTATCCTGGCTAGTATTGTCAAATAAGACAATTCATAGGATCAAACAAATTGCTTTCGCGTGCCGATAATTAGCTCGACTGCTTCCAAGGTGTTTGTTTACTAATGCCAACTGACTACGAACTACTTCTACGTACACATGATCTTCACCAAAAATCCTTTTGCGAATCATCAGTGCCTTTTCGTAAAGTTCTTTGGCTTGATTGTATTCCTTCAGGCTGTCGTATACTAATGCCAAGTTGTTATAACTCTCTCCTACATCTGCATGATCTTCACCAAAAATCCTTGTGCGAATCATCAGTGCTTTTTCGTAAAGTTCTTTGGCTTGATTGTATTCTCCCAGGCCGTAGTACACTGCTGCCAAGTTGCTATAACTTATTGCTACCTTCAGATCATCTTCACCGAAAATTCGTTTCCTAATCGACACTGCCTTTTCGTAAAGTTCTTTGGCTTGATTGTATTCTCCCAGGCGGTGGTACACTGCTGCCAAGTTGTTATAACTCTCTCCTACATCGGCATGATCTTCACCAAGAATCTTTTTGCGAATCATCAGTGCTTTTTCGTGGAGGTGTTTGGCTTGATTGCTTTCTCCCAGGCGGTTAAACACTGCTGCCAAGTTGTTATAACTTGATGCTACATCGGCATGATCTTCACCAAAAATCCTTTTGCGAATCATCAGTGCCTTTTCGTAATGTTTCTTGACTTGATTGTATTCTTTCAGGCTGTCGTACACTGCTGCCAAGTTGTTATAACTTGATGCTACAACGGCATGATCTTCACCAAAAATCCTTTTGCGAATCATCAGTGCCTTTTCGTAAAGTTCTTTGGCTTGATTGTATTCTTTCAGGCTGTCGTATACTAATGCCAAGTTGTTATAACTCTCTCCTACATCTGCATGATCTTCACCAAAAATCCTTGTGCGAATCATCAGTGCTTTTTCGTAAAGTTCTTTGGCTTGATTGTATTCTCCCAGGCCGTAGTACACTGCTGCCAAGTTGCTATAACTTATTGCTACCTTCAGATCATCTTCACCGAAAATTCGTTTCCTAATCGACACTGCCTTTTCGTAAAGTTCTTTGGCTTGATTGTATTCTCCCAGGCGGTGGTACACTGCTGCCAAGTTGTTATAACTCTCTCCTACATCGGCATGATCTTCACCAAGAATCTTTTTGCGAATCATCAGTGCTTTTTCGTGGAGGTGTTTGGCTTGATCGCTTTCTCCCAGGTGGTTAAACACTGTTGCCAAGTTGTTATAACTTGATGCTACATCGGCATGATCTTCTCCAAAAATCCTTTTGCGAATCATCAGAGCTTTTTCGTGAAGTTCGTTGGCTCGATTGTATTCCCCAAGGCGGCGGTACACCACGCCACTTATGCTAAAAATCCTTCCTTTACGAATTAACACACCCGTAGGAGTGTTGTCTTCGTTCTCTAGTAGGTTGTAAGCTAGGTCGACCACATTTTTCGCAAAGACTAAGTAGGAGCTTTCTAGACAGACACTTGTGAGAGTATGTAGCCAATCAATAACTGTATCCAAATCTACGAAGGGCGTAAACGTTTCTAAAAGAGTGTTTTGGTTCGAACTAAACTCTGACGTCATCTGCTTAAGTAAAGATTCACAGTGGGGCCTCAATTTTTTACAAAACGCATAGTTCTTTCTATTTTCTTCGAGTTGGGACTTGAAAATCTTCAAGGCTTCTGCCATGGTGTGGTCACTCTCACATGATTTCAGGTTTACTATCTCGCCTCGTTTCAAAGCTTCATGCACCACTTTATGTAAACGTAAATAAGTTCGTTCACCCCCTTCTTCGGAATGAACAAGACTTAAAGAGGACCTAACAATCTTTGCCCTCATTAAAACCTCTAGTTGGTCTTTTACTTGGGCTTTGACGAACTTTAAAACAGTTTCGAGTGGTAGGTCGTCGTTAGCGCAGAGCGAAAGAAAAGAGAATGTATGACGAAGAACCTCGTCTGTTTCAACAGCTCTTCGGATAGCCATTTCTACTGCGGCCATTGTTGTTTTAGCGTAGGCTGAACTCTCATTAGCAAGGACAGTTTCCGCCTCTTTACGTTGACTGTATGTTGATACGTCTTGAAGGTATGCTTTCCAATCATAATTTGAAGACCCACTGGTCACAACAGTTTGCACGTAATAAGCAGCGGCAGCTAAGGCCAGTGGCTGAAAATCGAGTAGTTCAGCGACCTTTTCTGCTTGTACTCGCTCTGAAATTTGCGATACTTTTTCCAGCAATTCCACTGCCTCGTTTCGCCTCATTCCTTTGCTTAACGATTCATGATGCGTGTGAGGAGCGTTTTGAGGAACTGTACCACTATCTTGAGTGGTAATCAGCACTTGCCCATGGCCCCATTCCTTACTGCCAGTTTGAGGAAGCAAGTCGCGGACTAAGCGTAAGTCAATCACATTGTCTGCTATTATCAACCATTTGGTAAACTTGCTGGTCTTCGGCAAAATCAAGCGATGGAGCTGTTTAATTGCTTCATGAGGTTTCTCTTCTTTTAACGATTCTAAGCCTTTCAACGCGTATTCTGTTATCTCTAGGTGTCTTCCAAGGGTGAGGTAAGAGTCAACAAGTGTCTCAATGCTTTCTGTGTTCAGTGTCGCAGCAAAGATAATATCACCGTTTTGTTCAGAAAAGAACTGTCGTCCAATTTCCCGGGCAAGTTGGCTCTTGCCACATCCTGGATTCCCTGACAAATAAACTGTACTAACTGTTCCGCTAGAGCCATTGTTAAGTTCCTTCATTTTGTTAGTGATTCTTTCAATGTCATGCGAGCGGCTGATGATATCATGTGGTGGGCGCGATGCGAGAATGCAAAATGGTTGAAGTTTCGCACCTACTTCCTGTGTGAGACATTTGTTTTCTTCTTTTACTGAAACTAGGGCAGCTTCTGTACTTTGAAGAGTGCTTTTTGTCTGATCTAACTCGACTTGGAGATCACGAACTTGCTTCTTAATTTTTTCTACTTCCTTCGTCGGAAAGGTCGTCTGGTTCTTTATTTCTTGAATCTCAGTTATAGCCAGACCAAGGGATGTAAAAGCGTTTAACAGTCTGTCTACAGAAGTTTGGAAGTCGGCATCTGTCAACTTAGCCTCGGTGATATGAGCGATCTCGTTTCGCACCTGACGAATATCATCGACCTCTTTACGGACAGCTGGGCTTAAGGTTTTACCAATGCTGTCCGAGTACAGGATGGCAAAAAACAAACAGGTACAGTCCCACTCTGCCGTGTCACCATTGTGGATTATTGCCAGATATCGGGCGTTTTTCTTGTGACCTGCTTTAGATTCTTTGTTGTAGAAATCATGACCATTTTGTGCCGTGTCTTTCCATTCTCCAGTTAACGTTGCTTTATAAAGGAAATCCCATTCGGTTTTGAAAATGTGCCGCAGTTCCACTGGAATCAAATCAAATGCTATGTAGCAGAGTCTGAAGTAGTTCAGTTGCTCTTGCGAGTATTCCATCATCACCAACTTACAATCCTAGTAAGAGATATTGCCTATTAGCTTATTTTCTCGCCAGGCCAAAGCAAAGATTATTTACTTATCATTTTGAAAATGGCAAGAATCACCGCTGATTATTTAACACAGTTATTCCATAAATGATTATGAAAAGTAAGTAACTAATGATAAACTAAGTTTAATACGGGATGCTAAGTAAGTAGCCATAGTTCTGCGCTGGTAGATAAAGCCAGGGCCACCCAAAGAGAATAATGAAGTACTATATCAAAGTTATGTGTGCCTTTAAGTGAGCCCGTAAGTAGGTCACTTACGAATCAGTTATGGGTACACTTACGGGTGTTGAATGAAACGCACTTAGCACTCTCGTAAGTTACTCTTTCACGTGGTAACTTACGGGCTCATTTAAAGGCACAAGTAACTTTGATATAATACTTTATTAATGACTCACTCTTTTTTTTAAGCTAACCATCGGTGAGTGTAAAGAAAGTTTTAATTAGTTTCGATCAATTTTAAACCTCTCAAAAAAAAAGAAATTTGCATGCAATCGTTATTTTTCTTCAATGTCTACTGAAAATGATAATTCTTCTTCTTTTTTCACAACGTCGGCTTTAAGGTGTATATCAGAGGTTAACAAGGCGCATTAGAACGAATGATGTGAAGAAAAACTACTTTTTTTCACTTCTCAGTAAAAGATCTCGTTAACTTTAGTAAAAACAGTAACGATACGGACATACATAGGTCCCGTAAATTTACGTGCTATTTTTCCCGTAAAAAAAGTTTTATGCAACACCCGCAATTTCTGTTGCATAACACTTAAGTGAATTCCCTAAGTGGACATTTAATGCAACTCACTTAAGTTACGAGTGCACGTACGTATACCCGTACTTGTTACGGGCGTTTTATGCAACCGGGCCCTGGCCTTTATTTGTATTTGAAAAGGGGCTTCTCCTAGATCATGTATTTCATTCGAGGTCAGTGTCTCCTTTTTTAAACACATTAATAACGATTTACTTTATCTTGATCAGTGCACAAATTTTAAAGACTTCTTGGCCTTTTCAAACAGTGCTTCGTTTGGATGAACAGTGCACTGTTAGGATTGATAAGGTTTTACTTTTGCGCAGAAAGCGATGAACTGATGACCCAGACATTAAAGCACACAAATCATTTGCAAATGAACATTCGTTTGGTGTTTGATTTCTGTTTCAAATATGAAGCGCTCATTCGTTTTGATTTTGGACAACAAACCCACCGTGATTGGTGTATTATTCAGGTTAGGAGATCAGTGGTACCAACCCCTTTAATGAGCGTATTTTTAACGAAATAGAGACCATGATCGCGCAGAAACCTACAAGGAAGTGTACTTGCAAATGTAGACAATTCCGATGCTTACGCTAAAATAATAATGGTTTCGAAGAACCAAATGGTTATAATAAGTAAACTCTTTTCATCACCACAAATTCTACACCATGCACCGAACGGTACTTAAGACAGTGGCGATAATTATGTATGCCGAGGCAATCAAATTCTTTAAGCAGTGTATGGCGTACGAGTGGATCAGCACGTACAAAACTTCCTATTATACAAAACTTCGACCAAATAATTATCCTGAATTTATCTTTGGGTATGTTAAGCTGAATAACCAATGCTAATACTCACCTTACCCAAAATTAATTCAAGGAACTTCGATTTAATAAAACATGAGGTAGCTGGATGAAGAAGCGAAATTGATTGTCCAAAGTGGAACTGCTCGAAATTGATCTAAACCGATATAAAGATCACGCAAATGTCGTTATGGTCGAGCTATTTCTACAGTCACTCTATTTTTGACAGTCACGCTATTCGTAGAAATTGCATGAGGACCCGTAAAGGGAGCAGGGGAACCTCATCTGAAAACGAAGGGTCGGAAAAGTAGAATTAAATGTATGGTACCACCTTTAACAAACTAATATACTTCGAAAGCGAATTCCTTACCGTCCACGTTTGCGGAAAACGAAAACGCGAAGTGGGTCTTGTTTGTGACCTAGATACCGAGCTAGAACAGGCCCCTAGAAAGTTGCTGAGGTATTGAGCCCATCAAGAATACCAAAGAGCGCTTTTTTCACTTTGAATTTACGGAACAAAATGCAATGTGTAAACCCTTGTTAATCAAGCAAGAAACTGAGTACCAGTTACACCTGTAATTGAACGATTTTCCTCTAGCTACGTCACTTTATTCTAGTATTCTGAAATAATTGTGATTAGGAGGCACGTCTTAGTCGGGGCGTTCACACTGAATACAAATATAACAGCGTGAGGGGGGATCTTCACTAGAGAGAAGAGAAGTTTATTTGAGAGGAGCCGTTTATTAGATCATTAAAGATAAGTATAGTATCATTCGATATCAATGTTTCCAATTTTCAAACCAAATAATGATGACTAAAATAAAGTCAATGTCGTACAATAATAACTTTGGGTGTTCTTGGCCGTTTTGACCAGCGCTTCGTTTAAATGAGAAACTGAGGGAAACAGATATTCTAGAGGTAAAGGATAAGCACGGGGAGAGGAGATAACAAACAGAGCACAAAAGAGAACAAATTGCTTTACACAAAAGTTCATTAATTTTTTCGTTCTGTGTTCGTCGATGAAATTGTTGATTCTTAATCAAAACAGAATACACGAAAATTTCTTTTGGCACTTTAACCCTAGCCTGAATTTTAGACATAAATTCAGGCTTCTTAACCCTTTTACTCCTTGTGAGTAATAGTGAGATCACCAGTCTTTTTAATTTGTATAACTGTGGACGAAACGTTGTATGACTCGGCCTTAGCTTCCCGTGACCGCTTACAAATGCTAAGAGACGACTAGGGAGGAGTCAGCTTTAAAATGCAAACGTGAACACGGACGCATCTCCGGTCGGTCGTCCCGGTCAAAACGTATAGCGAGAGAAGCGAGGACCGGAAATTAGATATGCGTTTGCGGGCAAGTAATAATGCCCTTTCACATTTTCTTACCCTCTCACATAATTAAACTAGTGACATTTCTGCCCTTTCATTACCATTCAAATGAAACCTCTTTGGCAGAAATTTGGTTGTTTTTGGAAACTTTCAAGTTGGTCACTCACTGTTAGGACTGATAGGGTTTTACTACCCTCTTTTTTCCTATTAGAATATACAGTCAAACCTCGCTTTACAGACACCCGCTTAATACGGACACTTCGTTATTACGGACGCTTTGCTTTGTCCCTGAGGAAACAAAGCCCTGAAATTTTCTCTACATTCAACCCGCTTAATACGGACCTTTTCTATGGCCCCCTCAGTGTCTGCTGATTAATAGGGTTTGACTGTATTTTATAGGAATATCGAGACTGAAATTTGCAAAATCTTAAGAATATGATAAGAATAACCCCAAGGCTAAAAAGGATGTAGTAATTTTGTGTGTTGAAAATCTGTCAATACAATACAATTGTATGTTTTTAGCTCAACCGTGGAGTTATTTATTTCTCTTAACCGCAAACTAGCCACTAAAAAGAAAAACAAAGTTCCATTGCCATTAAAATCAATTAATATCCCAACACATTCTAAAACGGAAAAGTGACAGGCTACTATTTAAGAATAATGCAAGAATATTTTCAACCTAAAATCGGCAGAATGATAAGAATATTCAGCCTGGGCCAGAAAAACAACATTCCGCTTATAAAAAGAAGAGTGTATGGCGCGTCAAGCTATGAATCAGTAGACGTAAATGATTGCATAAATAATTTTAAATGAACATTCCTTTGGTTCCTATTCCAAATATAAAACAAGTGTTAGTTTTAATCGTGGACAACGAATGACCCACTGCCTTGTTTCGGATTCAGGCTCAATGGATAATAACGACCCCTTTGGTGAACGCGTTTTTAACGAAAGAGAGACCGTTAGCTGTCATGATATAAATCCAGCCTTTGATAATCTCGTAGGCCTGCGTAGGCGTACAAGGAAATGTACACGCAATTGTCGTATGATTCGCATGTTTACGCGAAAATTATTAACAGCTTTGAAGAAAGTCATGACCAATAAACCCCTGTGGTCACCCCAGTTCTATACCATGCACCGAACAGTGCCGAGGCTATCAAAATTCCTTAAATAGTGTATGGCGAATGAGTGGGTCTTAATATCAGCACATACAAAGCTTCCTATTATACAAAAGGACGACAAAAAAAATGGCCTGAGTTAATCTGTGAGCATGAATAAGCTCAAAGACCAACGTAAAATTACTCACCGTGCCCAAAAGAATCCAAGGAAATCTGATTTAATAACTGTAAACAAGCACAGGAGGAAGTTTTACGAAGAAGCGGAACTGCAGAAAATGAAAATTTTTATCACGTGACCGATAACACAGACATCAGCAGAGGCCCATCACATTATTCATGAGCCCATCATTAGTCATGGGCTCCTGACATTAGACATCACGCTAGTGTCATTATTGCGGCGCTGTTTTCATAGTCACGCTATATTTGACAGTAAAGCTATTCGTACAAAGTACGGACCAGCAAAGAATCGGGGAAGGGGAGGGGAGGGGGAACCTCATACGAAAATGAAGGGTATACACATCAGAAAATTACAATCAAGCTCCTAAAGGAGACTCTTATACCCAGTATGACCGACTATTGCAATCTGTTTTTTACTTTTTAGGTTTTACTTTTGCGCAGAAAGCGATGAATCCCCGCAATGACAGACATTAACACAATAACTTTATTGACTTTCAGTCTTCGACATGAAGATTTCAGTACCAAAACAATGACAAATGAAAAAAGTAAAATAAAAGTTAAGTAAGAAAGAAAGGAACAATTGAATATTATTATAAAAGAAAAATTACTTGGCTATGTACGGCTTCTACGCTACTCGTATGGTAAGAAAGTTTAATTAGAGTTCGAGTGTATAATATTTTCAATATAAGAGGCACTGAGATTTATGATGTTTTCATCGCACATAGACATGATATATAAAAATAGTGCCTTGCAAGACATATTCGTAAAATTACTGTTT